CACTGTGTGAAGCAAATAAATATCTGCCACTTTGTTTTTAAAAATATATGTTGTTTATTGTGTGGGTGTAAATGTGCTTTAGTCAATTTCCATTATTATGTAAATGATATGCAAATGATATGCAAATTAGGCCGCCACAGTGGTTTAAATTCCCGGGGAGAACACTGTGATTGATATCCAACTTTGAAGATGATCGGTTAATAATGGCTTGAATTATTATCATCACAAGAAAGGACAACAAGGACAGACATTTCTCCCTTATTTGCCTTTCCCTTCATCTAATGATACAGACAATGTAAAAATAATCACTGCAAGGAACCAACTTATCATATGATTTACAGCGAGAGATTGAGGTCAATGCACTCTATACATGTCACTTGATTGAAGGACAGAAGAACACAATTTTGAGAGAATTTACAATATTCAAAGTTTTTCCATATTTGAGCAGAATGTCAACAACAAACCCACCATTTTTCATTCACTTTTGGGAAATGGTATCGATAGACATGTGGTCGTATGTAGTTTGCTTGTTGGCAGTCTAGTTTGTAACTGATATAAAAGCGTGTTGGACACGCCGAGTAATTTTTTTTCAGAAGTGTACACATATTCATTTATGATGAAATAGTGTGTCATGCTAAACCAACCAATCAGTTGACCTCAATTTACATATTGTATCACATACTCACTTTTTCTTCTTGTTGAATTCCTTTCCAGTGACAGTATCTAATAAACGAAATATTCTGTCATCTGCAAGAAACAAGTCATACTGTGCGACCAATTTTCTGCGAAGCTCAAATGGACGGTATTCCTTCTTCAAAACCCTTAGAGGCATAACCTGCAACAATTCCTATAATAAGCGCTCATAATCGAACAAATGAAATCTACAAGGTGAATGTAATGCAACGAGCACAACTGAAAACTAAGAATTTCCAGACTTTGTTATGCATAGTAACAATGCAATGGGACTTGCCGTTTTCAACAAGAATTCAAAAATATCATTTTTCACCATAAATGATTGTGATTTTTAACAAGAAGTCGAAAATGTCACTTTTTACCAAAAATGCCAAAAATATTCACCAAAATTAGAGAATCAAAGATATCATTACAATATGAACAAATCTGAGAGGTCCACATGTAGTAACTATATATGTAATATCAAAGCAATTGGACTTGCAGTTTTTAACAAGAAGTCGAAAATATCATTTTTCACCAAAAATGACAAAAATATTCACCAAAATTAGAGAATTGAAGATATCATTACAAAATGAACAAATCTGAGAGAGATCCACATGTAGTACCTATATATGTAATATCAAAGCAATTGGACTTGCGGTTTTTAACAAGAAGTTGAAAATATCACTTTTTACCAAAAATGACAAAAATATTCACCAAAATTAGAGAATTGAAGATATCATTACAAAATGAACAAATCTTAGAGAGGTCTACCCAAGGTACATATACACCAAATATCAAAGCATTCAGGCTTGTCATTTCAAGAAGAAGTCGAAAAAGTAAAACATTGACACGGACGACAGCGACGGAACAATCACTCATATGATAAGCTCTGCTTGACAAAGTCGACAGCGAAGCTAAAAAAGCTTACCCGTGAGACTGTAGTAACATTTTTGTCAGCCAACCATTTTTCGTAAAATTCCTGGCACTCTTCTCTGCCCATGTTCTTTTCATCCTTTGTAATGAGGCACACCTCAGCAGTCTCAGACAATATACTATGTGGTAAGCATCTGTGAGTTAAAATAATAGTAATTCCATCATTAGCACAGTGTCCACAGCACCAATGTTGTTCTTGAAAGTTTCCATGCCATGGTGCTGTCCATGTCTGTCAATATGACTTAATAAAAACTAACATGGGGCCCAGGGGCACCGAAGTCTTTTGGAATTAAGTAGAACTTGGGAAGCAGACATACATGATTTTAACTG